CCCTCCCTCCCTGTATGTTCTTTTTTTTAAAATCTCTTTTGAGACAGTCTTGATGAAGCAGGCTAGAAAGACAGGGAAAATCATGGAACAGAAAGGAGCCCCTTACCCCAGGGGTCTAGTTAAAGCCTCTGGCTAGCTGAGAAGCAAGAATTTCAACACAATTAACACAAGTTTTTTCTGCCTTCTCAGATGAAAAACCTGCAATTTTTAGGAATTTCACCAGAAGCCCCTTATGCACACCTGGTGACTCCTGTTTTTATTTTATCAGATTATTATTCCAAGTCACCTCTGGAGCCATCCTATAATCTCACTTATCAAAAACAGGGAGAAAAGGGGGGGGGGGTAAGGTTTCTCAGTAACTTTTTGAGATGTAACTTGCAAAACAACAAAACAGTATATATAGTTAAAGCTAAGACACTTAACTGCTTTTCTCCCTTGAGGCAACCAAACTCACTTGGGTCTGTCTGACTCCCTGAGCATTTCTCTCTTAATCCCTGTGCTTAAAAATCTCTGTTAAAAAATGTCTTGGGGGCTGAAGAGATGGCTCGGTGTTTAAGAGCACTGGCTGCTCTTGCAGAGAACCCAGGTTTTGTTCCCAGCTACCACATGGCAGCTAAACCATTCATAACTCCAGTTCCAGGGGATCCGACGCCCTCTTCTGACCTCATGGGCATTGCACAACATAAGTGCACTTACATACATACAGGCAATACACTCATACAACATAAATAAAAATAAGTAGAATATATATTTAAAAAAATGTCTTAGCTGGGCGTAGTGGTTAATACTTGCAGTGCTACTACTGGCAAGAGAATCAAGAGTTCAATGCCAGCTTTGGCTACATGGCTTCATAATGAGTCCAAGAGCAATCTGGGCTATATAAGATCCAGTCAAAGAAGAAGAAAAAGAAGGAGGAGGAGGAGGAGGAGGAAGAGGAGCAGGAGGAGGAAGAGGAGAGGAGCTGGAGCAAGAGCAGGAAGAGGAGGAAAAATGATGGTAAAGTATTTTGGAGTAGAGGAAAATGCAGGAAGGAGAGAACCAGATACAATTGTGTTCATTCATGTCCATGGCATTTAATTTGATAAAAAGTTATAAAAATAATTCGATACAAGACCTGATGCTCTCTCATAGGAGGAGCAGGAGGAGGAAGAGGAGGAGGAGGAGGAGGGGGAGGAGGAGGAGGAGGGAAGAAAGAAAGAAAAGGAAGGAAGGAAGAAAGGGTAAAGGAAGGAAAAAAATCTATAGGGATCAGGGGAGATGGCCATTAAGAGCACTTATTTCTCTTCCAGAGGACCTGGGTTTGGGTCCCAGCTTTCACATGGCTGCTAACCTCTGTCTGTAACTCCAGTTCCAGGGGATCCCACTCCATCTTCCGACCTCTGCAGGCACCAGGCATGCATGTAGTGCACTTACATACATGTAGGCAAAACACCCATACACATAAAAAAATAATAAATAAAATCTAGAGAAAAGTCTTAATGAACTAGGGTTCTTATTTGAGAAAACTACACCCATGCATTTCAGTGTGCTTTTATTATTATTATTATTAATTATTATTATTTTTTATGTGTATGAGTGTATTGCCTGCATGTAAGTGTACCCACGTTCTGAAATGCCTGTGGAGGTCAGAAGACAGTATCTGTCCCCTAGAACTGTTCGATCTCCTAGAACTTGAGTTACATATGGCTGTTAGCCACCATGTGGGTGCTGGGAATTGAATCTGGGTCCTCTGCAAGAGCAGCCAGTGCTCTTAACCATTGAATCATCTCTCAAGACCCCTCAGTGTGCTTTTATTTTTTTCTTGAGAACTTTTCTCTCTCTCTCTCTCTCTCTCTTTGGTCTTTTTGAGACAGGGTCTCCCTGTAGCCTCAGGTGGCCTAGAGCTTGCTATATAGACTAGGCTGGCCTTGAACTCACAGAGATGTGTCTGCCTCTGCCTCCTGAGTGTTGGGATTAAAGGCGTGAGCCACCACACCGGCCTTTTCTCTATTTTCTATAAAACCCCAACTCTATGTCATACTGGCCAGTCCTGAAACACTTTTCTGTGTTGAATGTTGAAGCCACACATCCTGAGGTTGCCTGAGTTGAGGTCCCTAGAAGATTAAGGGAACTCTTCAGCTGTGCCTCTCTCCTCTAGCCACTGACATTACTCTGTAGTCCAGACCAGCCTTGAACTCGTGATCCTTTGTAATAGAGTACATTGCCTATAGCCAAGACACATTTTATTTTCTTCCTCTTCCTCCTCCTCCTCTCAGGATTTTGTTTTGTCTAGTGTGGTCTTGAGCTCCTGGTATCAGAATATCCTTTTGCCTTAGCCTCCCTATGAACTGAGACTACAGGCACAGACCACAAGTATATACCACTGTACCTGACTCACAAGTGCCATGTTACGAGTTACTGAAAGTCACTGGAGAAGAGCCCATTTCTAGCACAATCTTCTGAAGAAGGTTGTTGATGAATAGGTTTCTATAACTCATGTGAGGTCACTGAGTAAACACCATGGAAATAAACTCTTATTTTAAATTTGTGTTGTCACTTTTGGGCAGTGATTGTGAGTGTTGGGCTTCCTCTTGATTCCATGGACCAGTAGGAACTAGACATGACTGGACACTGATTTGTTGGATATGCTGAATGAGATAATACCTTTGTTGTTCTTGGTAACAACTTTTAATTTTGTTATAAATTTTCTAATTTTCCTAATAAAAACTTTAAAAAAGTTGTGTTAGGGCTAGCAAGATGGCTCAGCAAATAAAGATGCTTGTCACCTAGTCTGCTGACCTGAGCTTGATCCCTGGGACATGCGTGATCACGGAATTCAACAGATTCCTGAAAGTTGTCCTGTGACCTCCACCTACTCACCACGGCACCCACACACTTACACACACACACACACACACACACACACACACGTATACTGAAAAATAATAAATATATCTTTAAAAAAAGTAAAATGCCATCATGAGATCCATTTCTGTGATGATTGGGTGGTTTACAAGATTGTGTGACATGTGCCTCCCCACTAACCTTGTTACCATGTAAACACATTACCTGTGTAACATCAACTTAGAAAAAGGAAAAAAGAAAAAGAAAATACCAAAATGAAATCCATTACTTTTAAGAAAAAAATATTTTTGATTTTCCAATAAACTTCACTTTTATCCCAAGCCTCCTACCCCCAAAATCAGTGAATGACAGAATGAAGTGGACTTTCATTTTTGGCTAAAACCTGTTTTTCTTTCTTACTTAAAAAAGAAAAGATTTAGGCTGGGTGTAGTGGCACATGCCTTTAATTCTAGCACTTGGGAGGCAGAGGCAGGGGGATCTCTGTGAGTTTGAGGCCAGCCTGGTCTACATCACGAGCTCCAAGCCACCTGAGACTACAAGGAGACCCTGTCTAAAAAAAAAGGAAAAATTTGTTTAGGGCTATCTGAGCGTAGTGGTACATGCCTTTAAATCTCAGCACTGGGAGGCAGAGGCAGGCAGTGTTAGATCCAGGTCAGCCTGTTCTACATAGTTCCAGGCCAGCTGGAACTACCAGGGAGACCCTAATTTCAAAAACAAAAACCAACCAAACAAAAGGATTTATTTTGTTTTTAATTATGGGTATGTCTGTGTGTTTGGAGGTTGGGGGTAATGTGCATTTGAGTATAGGAGCCTGTGGAGGCCAGAAGTGGGCATTGGATGCCTTGGAGCTGTAGTTACAGGTGATTGTGAGTCACCTGATATGAATTTGGGACTAGAACTCAGCACCTCTGCAAGAGCAGTACAGGCCCTTAACCACTGAGCCATTTTTCCAGCCTCATAGGACCCATTTTTCTAAGCCTTCCTGATTCATCCCATGATGCTATACACTAAAGGTTAGTTTTCCAGTGATTGGAAAGAATCATTTAAGGAAAAGCATGTTGGGCTTAAAATGACATTTTTTGCAGGCTTAGTGCTAAAATGTTTGCCTACCATGTTTAAGACACTTCATTCCATCCCTAGCACCATAAAATAAATTAACTTAAAATGCAAATCAATAAAATGAACATATGGTTTTTAAAATGCACTTTCCCCATTTACTCTGTGTGGAAAAATCTATTTGTTGTTTGGTTTTAAAAACAAACAGGTGTTGGTAACAGAGAGTGTACCCCACTAGAATCACAAATAAGCAGGGAAATAGATTCCTTGTGATATAAATTGCTTTCCCGAAACTTTCCAAAGTGTTAGATTCCCACTCTGTTTCACCGGTTTCTTCATTTTATTTCAATATCTTTTCAACTTTTGCTTAATATCTGTAATTTTTAAAGGTAGTATTGCAGGAGTGACTCAGTGTAGTCCACGATGGAATATGGAATACATAGCTTCAATATTATTTCCTAGGCTGAATAATATGCCTCAGTTAGCAGGCTTGTCTTGTCTAGCCAGGTGAGCAGATCTGGCTCTCTGGGAGGTCTTTCTAGAAACAAAAGCCAGAGTTGAGTAGTGAAATGAAGCTCTTAGGAAGAAGGAAAAGTGGCTCTATTCTACTTAGACACTATTGTTTCCTCTAAAATACCTCAGTGTGTGTGTGGGGGGCAGGGGACAGGAGAGAGGGAGAGAGAGAGAGAGGAGGTACATAGAAAATGGGAAAAGTTCACTTTCATTAGCATATTTTTTGTCTTTTAAATTCTATCTTGTCTATATTAGGACCTAGAATCTCCTGGGATGTATAGCCAGGCTTAAGAAAAATCAGAGTTCTGGGGCTGAAGAGACGGCTCAGTGGATAAGAGAGGACCTGGGTTGGTTCCCAGCACCCACATGGCAGCTACCAACCATCTAAAACTCCAGTTCTAGAGGATCCGACACCCTCTTCTGGCCTCTGCGGGCATTTCATGACATGGGTGCACATAAATACATAAAAATAAATAAATAAAAATTATTAAAAAAAAAGAAAAACTAGGGCCTGGAGAGATGGCTCAGCGGTTAAGAACACCAGCTGTTCTTGCAGAAGACCCAGGTTCGAATCCCAGCATCCACATGGCAGCTAACAACTGTCTGTAACTCCAGTTCCA